GCACATACTATATAAATGTTATTTGTTATTATTAATATTATTATTTGAACCTAAGTCTTGGTGTCTCTGAGGTTAGTTCTGTGTCAAGTATGCCTAGCTGCCCTTCTTTCTATATAAAAAAGTAAATACAGGCTACTTTAGGGAAAATCAGGAAAAAGCCTTTTCCTGGTTCTTGAACTAAGCTTTAAAGAATTTAGGAATTTTAAGTGCCTGAGGTAAGAAGGGAATGCAGTCCAGGCATGGAGAAATAGGCTGAACAGAGGAATGTTTTGTGTGAGGAAGTATAGAAAGGCCAGTTTGGCTGTGCCTGTCTAGAGTGCATAATAGGGAATCAGGTCTGGAAACAGGTTGGAGTCAGGTTGTAAATGGTTTTAAGTTTGTATTGGGTCCTAGAGGCTATAGGGGCCTACAGGAGTTTCCTTATTCATAAAATGTAGTAAATGACTTTTGAAGTCTTCTACCTCTATGATATTAGCCTATATTGCAGAGAATCCAAGTTAGAACTTGGGGCAGCTAAGTGGCTCAATAGATAGAGTACCAGGTTGGAGTCAGGAAGACCTGAGTTCAAGTTTGGACTCACTAGTTGTGTGACCCTGAGCAATTCACTTTAACCTCTGTTTGCCTCAGTTTCCTCAGCTGTAAAATGAATATAGTAACAGCAACTACCTCAAAGAGATGTTGTGAGGATCAAATGAGATAATAATTGTGAAGCATTTAGATGGTGCCTGGCATATAGTAAGCATTATGTAGATGTTAGCTATTATCATTATTATAATTTATTATTACTGTTATTTTCTAGTGAGTAACCTACTTATTCCTTTCCATGCTGTGGTGGTGCTGGTTTGATTTCACAGAATATTAAGGCTGGAAAGATAGAGGCCAAATAGTTGAGTTCATTTAACAGATGAGAAGACTAAGGGTCAGAGAGAGAAGTGACGTGCTAAAGATCACCCAAGTACTAAGTGGAACTGAGGATTCTTGACTTTGAGACCAGTGATCTTACAACTGCAATATAATTATCTCCTGCTCTTCTTGTGAATAAGATGACTTTTGACCAATATTTACTTAAGTGCATGTGAAAGAAAATATTAAATAGTAATTTTAGAAAGTTTTCTTAAGCAAGTTGCAAAGTCAAAAAATGAAGTCCCCTTAAAGGCCAAAATAATAAACTGTACTTTTAAGAATGTGGGCTGCTTTCTGTTAGAGAAGAATATACTCTTGGTTACCCTCCTCAGAGGATTCTTTGTAATTACAACTACATTCAATTATAGTTATCTCTCTTTTAATTTCCAAGCTATCTATATTTTTAAAATTTGTGGCATGAAAATAGTCCTCTTAGGTTTTAGACTAGGAAGTACTAGTTGTGTGGATGTGGAAATTACCCCATGATGTGTATGTGTATGGGCATGCTGATGAGGAAAAGATTCAAATACAGGGAGTAATCTGTTGTCAGAACACATTAATTTTTCCAGGGGCTGGCAGCAGACATTTTGTCATATAGTCAGATGTCTTTGATTCAGCTGGAAAGAAAGCTATCATCATGCAAACTGAAGGCCACAGTTAAAAGTGGTAGTGAATTGCTGTGGAATTGAGATATTTCATTTTGAAAATCTGGGCAGCTCAGAATAAAGAAGCAATATACACATTTGTAACTCATTAGCAAAAATGGAAAGTAAGGGGAAAATTGCTAGAGTTGCAATCAGTAGAGATCTGGATTCAAATTCTACCTCTTATATTTACCAGCTATAAGTGTTATGGGCAGGTCATGTTCTTCTGAGCTGCAATTTCTCCATCCGAAAAATGGGGAATAATAACACCTGTGATACCTTCTTCACAGGATTCATATGAGATTATATATGTAAAACATCATATATAAATATTAGCTATTCTTATTCACTTATAGTGTTGTGAAATGCTGTACTTGGTACCTTTACCCACTCTTGCCAGAGGAATAAAAACATGTAAAGTGTGCAGGATAATAATACAAGCTTATATACATAACAGGTTGTGATCTAGCAAAAACTGGTCTGCTTCTTAGTTGTACTTCCAGAAAACTGTTGTGTCAAAATGTTATAGTCCTGTGATACTCTTAGTATTATAGGAAGTAGAATGGGTGAAACAAAAACATCTATGACATTTAGAGTTAGAATGGACTTTAGGTGCACATCCCACTCCACCATTTTACAGATAAAAATAATAATCATTAGCTAGCACTTACTAGTATGAGTTACGTGCCAGGTACTGTAACAGCAGTCCTGGGAGGTAAGTATTGTTACTATCTCCTTGAGGAGGTAAGTGACTTTCCTAAGACCATACACTCTGCCATTTATTGGCAGAGTCTAGATTTGAACCCAGAAACTCTGATTCCAAATCCTGTGTTCTTTTCAGTATAATGCCCTAATCTGTACACTCCAGGTAAGAAAGAATTCAGTTCAAAGTAAGGTCCTTTGCTTAGAGGCAGACTGGGTTTGAAGATAAATAGTAAAAACCAAGGAGGTTTCTTGAATATTTTTTAGGCTTTGAGCAAGTTACTTTTTGCTCTTAAGAAGCTCTAATAAAAGATTTTGAGCAGCTCCACTTCTTTTGGTAACTGATAAAAGGAGTACCATAACCATTAGCGGGAATAACTATGTGTTGATTCAGTATGCAAGAACACATTCTATATTTTGTGTTTTAAAAATGTTGACTCTAGAGAAATTACTAGAAAGCAAAAGAGTTTTCTACTGCTAATTATCTCACTTTCATCTCTCTTTCTGTTACTATTTGGTGCCCATCAAGTTACATCTAAAAAGAATACTCTCCATCTCCTGCTTCCATTACCTCATAATTCCCCTGAAGTCTTGACTTTTGTCTCTGTTGTAGTACTGAAACTATACCTTTTCTCTGTCTCTGCCCTCTGTAACATCTGATAATAATTTCTCCTTGGAACTCTTGTCTATCTTAGTTAAGTCTCCAATAAACCACTTTAGAGTTTGGAGAAAAAAGGATTTTGCTAAACTCATCTGTGTTAAAAATTTCAACAATGATTGTAAGGCTGCATTGTGGTTTCTAGTATCAGAAGGTGAAGTCATGTTTGAAATAGTTTTGACTCTGAATGTAAACAGTGTGGTTTGTGAATTGTACACACTCAGATGGTTACCTCCTGCTTAGGCAAGAAACTGAACCAGTCCTGGTTAGCAGGACCTAGTTCATGATGTAAAGTTGGAAATTGTATTTAATTCTTTTAAAGATACAAACTTAAAAAAAAAAACCCTTAAACTATTCTCTTTATAATGTAAAGAAGCCTGTCTCCTGGTGCCTCTCATCTCTAGTTTATAGGGTTCAAATTCTCATATTTACTCAAGAACTTAGACTATGGCATTTTTCTTTTAGTGTCATTGAGTATACCAGCCAATGTTATCATTAAAGCTAATAATGATTCCAATGGTATTTCTGTTTGTTTGTTTGTTTTTTGAAAAGCAGTAGAAGAAAAAACTAATATATTTTGGATTCAGCATTTATGTCACATGCAGCAGCTTAGGATCATTGATTTATAGCTAGAAGGGACCTTAAAGGTCATCTAGTCTAACTCCCTTATTTTATAAATGAGGTCATCTTGTGTAGCCTCCTAACTTTACAGATGAGGAGACTGAGCCCCAGAGAAGGGAAGTGACTTGCCCAAGGCCGTACAGGTATACCTTCTCTCATGAAACAATTTTGGGTCCTTAGGTTGTATAATTGACTACTAATCTTGTATGTTATTGACCTTAATGATAAAATTTCTTTAAATGATTGCAGTTAGAATAATCATTTTTATTATTTTCTTTTAAAGTAATGCTAAGTTTTGAGGAGGAGAACAGGAAGGAAAAATGCTGTATAATTTCAGCTTCTTAGCAACTCCACATTTATTAGACAGCTAGTAGCTCTTATAATAATAATAGCTCACATTTCTTTAGAACCTTAAAATTAAGCATATTACATAATGTTTGGTATTCAGGGTCTTAACTGAAGATTTTCAAGTGCTCTAGTCTGATTTTAGAAATACTCTTAGGCAATTGAAAATTTTGCACAGAAAATGTAATTTATTGCACAAGTCACAGTTATTACACTAAGCTGGCATTAAAAACAGATTTTTATTTACATTCCATTACAACTAGGTAGAACTAATTGCAGGTGCAAAAGGAGGAGTATTTTCAGTTCTAATTTAGTTCTTCCTTCATTATAAATATGGCATATTTACAGGCTACATGGCATTCTTCTTAGCATCTTAATAGAAATATGGACCTATAGAGTTAGAAAAATTAATTAAACTTGCACATTCAAGTGGTGGATAGCCCGCCTGGCAACCTTATTTAGATACCATGGCATCAAAGCAGGGGTCGAATGTAATTTTGCCAATTTGTGTGGGAAACGTTTGTGCATGATCTTGTTCTCTTAGATGATATTAAGGATTTTGTATAACTGTGATTATTTCTATTGGAATTAGGGCACAGACCATTATGAAGGCTCGATTAAAAGGAGCACAGACAGGCCGAAATCTCTTAAAGAAAAAATCTGATGCCTTGACTCTTCGATTTCGGCAGATCTTAAAGAAGATCATTGAGGTACTATGAGTTTTGCTTTTGATCAGAATTGTATGAGAATTCAGTATGATTGATTATGCTTTTATTTATCTTTAGTTTTGTTGTTTCCTGACTTGAATATTTCACTTTTCATTAGAGTAAAAGGAAAGAAAATGAAAGGTCAGTTTTGCTTACTAGTGATTGGAAAATAGTTTGAGGAAAAGGGCATTGATAGGGGCAGCTAGGTGGTGCAGGGGATAGAGCACCGGCTCTGAAGTCAGGAGGACCTGAGTTCAAATCCGGCCTCAGTCATGTAACACTTACTAGCTGTGTGACCCTGGGCAAGTCACTTAACCCCAGTTGCCTAAAAAAAGAAAAAAAAGAAAAGGGCATTGAAACATCAAATTTCTAAAACATCAGTGGAAATCATTTATCCTTGTGTACTCCATTTTCCATTAATGTAGTTAAATTTGAACGTTGGTAGTATACACTATCAAGTATAATTTCTGTGTCAACTGACTTAGCTTAATTGTTTTGTTTTTAACATGGAGGAGTTTAATAGGCAATGACCGTGATGTAAAAATACAACAATAAAAAGATTTTTAAAAATTTCATTTTTCTCCCACATTTCTGCTGATGTAAATCAAACATCTCAAGCTAAAATGGGAATAAATCTTTTGGCCCTGATGTTACTACGTTAATAACACAGAATGCATGGCGTTATAGAGCATCAAGCTGGTAGCGTGGCACAGTGTGGAAAGACCAGTGAGTCCATGTTCAGTTGGACCTTGGTTAGATTCCTGTCCCTGTGATTGCTACCAGTGTAATACCTGGACAAATGATTAGCTCTTGGCCTTGGTCTGGACTAAGTGGCCCCCAGAGTCCCTTTCCACCCTGACCTTATCAGAATCTTGCCTATAGGCAACTTAGTTTTGTCAATTTTTGATTTGTATTCTTGACAGACCAAAATGCTAATGGGTGAAGTGATGCGAGAAGCTGCTTTCTCACTTGCTGAGGCCAAATTCACAGCTGGTGACTTCAGGTGAGACAATCTACGGAGGACATTAGGTAAAAAATAAGTAGTATGTGGCTTTCTAGAGCCACAGCCTGCTAGTAGCCTTTGGAGTGAACCTGGATTTTATGAATAGGCTGATGTGTCCAGAGATTTGCATTTGTATCCTGGCTCCGCCATTAATTGACTAGATGACAAGTTATATCTCTGTAGGTTTTCTAGGTCTGTTTTCTCATTTGGGGGATTTGGGCTGAAAATGACTAAATTTCTTTTAGTGTTAACATACTATCATGCTAAATAATAGACTCTGTAATTTTTGCAACTCTGTGAATAGTTCTGACAGGATAGCTACTCAATACTGACTTTTAGAACAGATTGTATCCTGAGAATTGAATGAATAAGTGTTACATAGAGATATAGAATGGTAAAGGGAGGATGAGGGTGAAGGAGCTGGAGAGCTGTTATTATATAATAATAATAATTTGTATGTTTTATAAATGGATTTGGCAATCCCACAGAGTCCTGTTGTTCTGTCTTAACAAAATTTACAGCATTTCATTCAGGTAAGACTCAGGATAGAAACGTGGGACACTTATTAATTGGCTACTTAATGACCAAATCCTGCAAGAAAAGAATAACATAATATAATTTAGACACCATTTACTACCAAAATATTGTAAGTAACATAAGAGTATTTTTCACATAGCTATATCTCCTATGCAAGTGGAAATATTTTAGCTTCAGTGACATTATAGATGTGTAGTTTCACTTTACTTCCCAAATTATTAGTTATTAGTTTTTTTCTCAATTAAAAAAAAATGTTTAGTATCTATTCTCTGAAGCTCTGCTCTGGCAGGAGGAAAGATTTGTCTTCATTCTTCTGACTGCAGTTTTTCAGTGATTAATGTTAAGCCCTGATCCATACTCTCCCTTCTGTCATTTACAATTTAATGTAAAAATTAGAAATAGTGGGATCCTTTAGGTTAATTTTTCTCATGAAAATTTAGCCAGGTTAAAATAAAATTTAATATTTTTTTTCTTCTGTAGTACCACTGTTATTCAGAATGTGAACAAAGCCCAAGTGAAGATCAGAGCAAAGAAAGATAATGTAGCAGGTAAGACTAATACTTTTAGAAATTTTTGGAGGCAGGATAAAATTATTCAGTTGAATTGCTTACCAAATAGATGTTTTCACTTTTTACTGAGAACTAAATTCATTTCAACCAACATTTATTAAAGAGTTACTACGTGGAAGGCACAGTTCTTGACAAAGATAAAAGACAATCCCTTATCCACTTTTAACTGATATGGCCATTCTATTAGGAACCAGAAGAGTTTTTTGCTGTTGGAAGGTGAAAATCCTATCAACATTTGTGAAAGGGGAGAGCTCCCCACACTTAATAGAGACTGGCTAATTCAAATATCCACTCCCATGATTTTTGAGGATTTGGCAAAAATGAAAAAGATTCCAAAATCAGTAAAGATAATTATACCTTGTTTTTCCTAAATTATTTTTTATAAATGTTAATAAACTTGTATTTATAGGTGTTACCTTGCCAGTGTTTGAACATTATCAAGAAGGAGCTGACAGTAAGTAGTAAATTATTTATCTTTTGTTGCCTGCATACTGTACAGTTGGGTAATTCTGATTCTCCTAAAATGAACCTAGTTATAGAGCAAATTATGGGATGGAACTCCTTGGAGATGATCATTTTGTAGTAATTTTTATAATGGTCTCTGCCACAGAAAGAGGTAAGTGTTATTGAGCCATCTCCTTGTGTTGTATATGGTGGGAGAGACAGAAGTTTAATGCTCAATTCAACAAACAATAAATACCTATTACGTGAAGGATGGACAAAGTCCTTTACAAAAGGCTAAGATGACATCGGCTTTCTTATGCTCAGTTGCATTCCTTGGAATCGCAGGGAAGCCCTACTTCTCACTGAGTACGTGTTTTTTGATTTAGTCACATTGTAAGTTGCTAAATGTAAGCAGCTCTCAGCCTCTTGATATGTTATGTTCTTGGGAGAGAAATAAGGAGAAAAGCATTGATTTTTATCTTTTGTAGTAATGTTTTTTTTACTGGTTAATTTCAGGTTATGAATTGACTGGTTTGGCCAGAGGTGGGGAACAGCTGGCCAAACTGAAGAGGAATTATGCCAAAGCAGTGGAGCTGCTGGTGGAACTAGCATCACTGCAGGTCAGTCGAAGTGTCAGGAAGACTAAAAAGTCCAGTTTCCAGTTGTTGAATCTTGGACCTAAGTAGCATGCAAAGAAATAGCGCTTAAACTTCCTGAGAACCTGAATAAATGGGAAACAAATCTAAGGTCTGCTCGTTTAAGATGAAATGAATTTTATGCTGTCATCTCCAGTGTTTGCCACTGTCAAGGTATTTTACTAGTATGATTAGCAAGACTTCATATGTTAAAAATAGGAAAGTGGCATCTAAAAGACTGTAGAAGAATGACTTTGTTCTTATTAATATGTGTACATATCCTTTTACCATTATTCCTAAGTTAATATCTGTATCTCTTCTTAACATGCTTGGTCTTCTTAACAGGTTTGGTCAAAGGGATTTAATTTTAATCAGAGTAAAAATGCAATAGTGTTACAATTCTGTAGGACCCCAATGTCTTATTAGAAATCTGCATTTTAAAAACATCTCAAGAAGTGGGTTTGCTTCCAGAAAAGTTTTTTCAGCATTTGGAGCTGAGCCAGATGAGTTGATTATACTGGTCATGAGCAAAAGTTTACCTATTTATAATTTGTTGTCTTTTCTTAGACTTCATTTGTTACACTGGATGAGGCCATTAAAATTACGAACAGACGGGTGAATGCCATTGAGCATGGTGAGTATGAGCAGCTATAGAAGACGTAGTTTCAAAAAAAGTACCAGAACCCACTCTACATACAGGAAGAATTCCCAAGCTCTCCTGTGTTTCTTTAGTTCTTTATTATGTGCATATCCATTCCTTGTTCTCCGTCCCACTCTTCTCCCAAAACAAAACATTGAACATTTAACATATTTCAGGCCCCAGTTTTGTCCTTGTTAAATGTGCTTAATCCTTCCTTTGCCTAGAATAAGATCCTCATAAGTTGTATGAAGCCCATTCAGTCAGTAAATACTTAATAAGCACCTATGTTCTTGGCACTGTGCTAAGTGCTGGAGATACAAAAAGAAGCAAAAGACAAATAGTACAAACAAGCTATATACAGAATAAATAGGAAACAATTAAAGAGAGAAGGCATTGAGGGGTTGGGAAGTACTATCTGTGGAAGATGAGATTTTAATTGGTACTTGAAAGAAGCCAGGGAAACCAGTAAGTAGAGATGAGTAGGAGGAGTATTCTAGATATGGGGGACTATGCCCATAACTAAGAGATGGAATGTCTCAGTCATGGAACAGCAAGGAGGCTAATGTCACTACATCAAAGAGTATATAACAGATAGTAAAGTGTAAGAAGATTGGGAGTGAGGAAGGAGTGTTGGTTATTTGCCTAGGCCAGAGTATTTTATATTTGATCCTGGAGGTGACACGGAGCCACTGGAGTTTATTGAGTATAAGGGCCTGACATAGTTAGACCTGTGTTTTAGGAAATTAACTCTGACTGCTAACCAAAGAATGGAGGATGGATTGGGGTGGGGGGAGATTTGAGGCAGGCAGACACACCAGCAGACTATTGCAGCAGTCTAAGCATGAGGTGATGAGGCATTGCACCAGAGTGGTGATAATGCCAGAGGAGAAAGGAGATGTGCAACAGCTTGTAGATTGAAAGTGAGGAATCCAGAATGAGTCCTAGGTTGTGAGTGTAAGGGACTAGGAAGCTGACATTGGTCTCAACAGTAATAGAGGTTAGGAGGGGAAAAGCTTTAATGGGAAACGATAACGAATCCCATTGTGGACGTGTTGAGTTTAAGATGTTTACTGGATATCCAGTTTGAGATGTGTGAAAGGCAGTTGGAGATGTTAGATTGGAGGTCAGCAGAGAGGTTGGAACAGGATAGATAAATTTGAGATTCATTAGCATGGAAATGATAATTAAATACTTGGGAGCTGATGAGATTACCTGCTGAAGTAGTATAGAGGGGGAAGTATAGAAGAGAAGATGCCCAGGACAGAACCCTGTAGTACTCCTATAGTTGGAGGATGTTATTTGGGTGAGGATCCAGCAAAGAAGACAGAGTAGGAGGCTTCAGGTAAGTAAGAGGGAATCCAGGAGAAAGTGATGTTCTGAAACCTAGAGAGAAGAGAATATCAGGGAGGAGAGAGTGATCAACAGTGTCACACCTGCAGAGGTCAAAAAGAATGAGGATTGGAAAAAAGCCATTGGATTGCCAATTCAGAGATCATTGGTAACTTTGGAGAGAGAAGCTTAGGTGGAATGATGAGGTCAGAATCCATATCATAAGACTAAGAAGAGAGTGAGAGGAGAGAAAGTGGAAACACCTGTTATAGATGGCCTTCTCAGGAAGTTTAGCCACAAAGGACAGAAAGAGATACAGGATGATAGGGGGTATGGAAGGATCAAGTTAGGGTTTTTTGAGGATGGAGCAGAGTCCATGGCCATTGTTTGTAGGCAGTAGAGAAAGATCTGATAAGGAGAAACTGAAGATAAGTAGTGGAGTGGGGATAATAGAGGGGTCAGTCTGTTGGAAGTGGTGGGATGGAATGGGATCACTCATGTATATAAAGAAGTAAGGCCACCTGAAGAGGTGAGACAAGGGTTGAGGAAGATGGCAGAAGGATCTGATAGGAGATGAGGAAGATGGGAAAAGAGGGGAGTTCACAGCAAGTGGTCTCAGTTTTTTTCTGTAAAATATGAAGCAAGGTCTTCAGCTGAGAGTGGGGAAGGGGGTAAGGGGGAACTGTGGGAAGTTTGATGAAAGTTTGGAAGAGCTGCCGTGGGGAGTAGGATTTCGAGTTGGTAGGGAATATGTAAAAGGATAGTCTAGCAGAAATGAGGACCCACTTGAGGTTGTATAACATAAATTTGTAGTGGACCCAGTTGGAACAATTGTGTGATTTTTTTTTTCTTTTTGCCCCTTCATTCATGAGCATGTCTATAGGAGTAAAGGTAGTGAATTGTGGGAGTAGTCCATGAGGTAAGACTTATATCACAGTTAGTGATATAAGGAGATCAGGGACTCGAGAAGAGGATAATATAGAGTTTAACTGATCGATCAGTGAATCAAGATAGGGAAAGAGGAGGGGCTAATGCAGGGGAGATGATCTGGGAGAGAACTGAGGGGTTGAAAGATTAGAGATCACAGAGTGGACAAAGAGTAGGGTCTGGAAAGGGAAGGCAGAGGGAAAGATGAAGAGCCAGTAAGTTATGGCCAGATAATGGGGATTTTAGAATTCTTGGTTTTTTGTTTGTTTGTTTGGTTTGTTTTGTTTTTAGGCAATTGGGGTTAAGTGACTTGCCCAGGGTCACACAGCTAGTAAGTGACAAGTGTTTGGTCTGAGGCCGCATTTGAACTCAGGTCCTCCTGACTTCAGGGCTGGTGCTCTATCCACTGTGGCACCTAGCTGCCCCAGGATTTTAGAATTTTTGAACATGGTGGTGGGGCATTTCTGGGTGATGGCAAGATTAAGGGAATGACCATCTTTGTGTGTGGCTGAAGTCAGAAGGAAGGAGTAGTTAGTTAGTTGAGTGGTTAGGTTGTTTGAAGGAGAGTCAGTGTTAATTAATATTAAATTAATTAAAATTCCCTATTATGAGACAAGTGTTGGGGAAGAGAGAGAAATTGTGAGCCAGTTCCAAACTTGTTGAAGGAGGAAGGGGAGTGACCTTATCTGTCAATAGTAATTAATCAGGATTTTGATTGGGTGGCAGATAAGAATTGCATGAACCTCAGTGTAGGAGAGGTTACTGAGTGAAGGAGGAGAACCTGGAAGTGGCCGTGAGGAGTAAATGAGCGGAGGGGAATGAGTGAAGGCGCAGTCAGTACTGGAAAGGGTGGCCAGATTTCAGTCATTACTAGAAGATGGAAGGAGTGGGAGAGGAAAAGATTTATGATGAAAACGAGTTTGTTGTCTATGGAACAGGCTGCATCAGGGCTCTAGAATTATAGTTGGTCATTGCATTGATCAACATTTTCAAGTCTTCCAGGGTTGTTTTTCTTTATAATGTGGTTATCATATAAATTGTTCTCCTGATTCCGCTCGCTTCACTCTGCAGTATTTCATATAAATCCTCTGAAATCACCCTTTCATCATTTCTAATGATATAATAGTATTCCATTATTTTCATGTACTGTAATTTGTTCAGCTCTGTGTGTGTGTGTGTGTGTGTGTGTGTGTATGTATCTGTGTGTGTCTGTGTCCTTTTCCTTTTTCTTTGATTTCTGTAGTATAGGCGTAGTAGTAGTTCCACTGGTTCAAAGGCTGTAGTTCCAAATTGCTTTCCAGAATGGTTGGACTAGTTCACAGCTTCTCCACTAATGTATTATTGTACCTGTTTTTCCACAGCCTCTCCAATATTGACTAAAATAATCTTTTTTCACCTTTGCCAAGTTTCTGGGTATGAAGTAAAACTTTGTGGTTGTTCTGATTTGCATTTCTCTTAATCATTTAGAGTATTCTTCATATGTTGAATAGTTTTCAGTTCTTTTGAGAACTCTTCTCTTTCTTTTTTTTTCCTTTTTGGTGAGGCAATCGGGGTTAAGTGACTTGCCCGAGGTCACACAGCTAGAAAGTGTCAAGTGTGTGAGGCTGGATTTGAACTCAGATCTCCTGACTCCAAGGCTGCTTTTGAGAACTCTTGTTCATATCTCTTGATAACTTATTTATTTGGAAATGGCTTTTTTTCATATATTTATTATATTTCTATATCACAGAAATCAAACCCTTACTCGAGATGATTGATGCAAAGTTCCCCCCCAGGTGATTGTTTCTTTTTAGTCTAGATGAGTTAGTTTTGTTTGTGCAAAAGTTTTTCAGTTTCATGTAATCAAAATTTTTCTTTTTTGCAATTGCTTCTATTTCTTTTTTGGTTTTTACCTCCCTCTGGGTTTTGAAAAAGGTAAATGTCCTGCTTCTCTCCTCATGTTTTTTTTTTAATTCTTTATATTCTAATTTCTTATGGTTAAGTAATATTCCATTGTATTTCTGTGTTACAGTTTATTCATTCCCAAAAGGATAGTCATGAAAATTTTGGCACATATGGATGAAACCTTTTTTTCCTGTCTTTGACTTTCTGGGGGGTGGGTGGGAGTGTAATATGCCTAGCAGAAGAGGTCAAAGAGTATGTACATTTCATTTTATTTATTTTAATAGATTTTTATTGATAACTTCATTATTTGGTAGAAACAATAATCCTAACTTCCTACTCTCATCCAAGGTAGATTTATTTTTCCTTAAAAGGCTAAACTATTCTTTAGACTTAATTGGTTTAGGTTACTAATAGTTTAGGACATTGACATTACTTTCTGATCACTTGAGTACAAACTTCATGGTCTATAAAATGATTCTTTGCAGACCACTATGAGCAACTCAGATGTAGGGGAGCTCTGCTTACCTGAAGCAGCTTGCAGTATCTTTGATGCGTATCTTTATTAAATAATGTTTTCCTCATATGGCTAAAGAAATCTCTTTTTGTTAACTGTTGAATGACCTATGAGCGTATTCATTCTGGTATTGAAACTAAATAATTAGACACCTGATCTGAGTCAGGCCCAGCCTGAAACATTTCTTATAATAAATTTAAAAAAAAAAGGAAAAATGCAGTGCACCATGCTCTGTAGATTAAAAGATCAGGGGGAGGTACCTTTTCATCTCTCTTCTCTAGGGCCAAGCTTCTTTATAAATTTCTTAGCACTCAGTTTCAGTTTTTGTTTTTGTTCTTTCCATTTGCATTTTTACCGTTTGTCTATTGTTTTACTAGTTCTGTTATTTTACATCATTCCTAAGTCTTCCCATATTACTGTGTTTGTGATATTTTCACGATATTCTTTATATCACAGTAATAATTCCCTTGCATTTGTGTACCATAATTATTTTTAACCATTTCCAGTCAATGCGCATCTACTTCTTTCTTATGAAAGGTGCTGCTGTAAATATTTTGCTGTGTATGTTGTTTTGGGGGGCTATTTTTTTGTCACTGACCTCCTTGGGGTATATGCCTATCCATGTAATTTTGGAATCAATGGATGTGGACATTTAAATCACTTTGCATAGTAGTAAATGTTTACTAGAATTAAATTTCAACTTATTTTCTTATTTGATTGCTTTGTCTTTACGTGGCCTTTTAAAGAAATGAAAGCTTTACATTTCTTTAGTTTTCCTAGGTCTTTCTTAGGTAGGGAGAGAGCGAGTATTATTCATATCTTCGAATGAGTTAACTGATACCCCCAATAGAAAAGTGATTTGCATGGGCCTTAGTATTAGAATGGATTTATCTCCTTAACTTATTGTCTTTTTGTTTTAAATTAAGGAGTGAATTATTGTAATGTTATTCAGTTGTAATGTACAATTATCATAACATTGTATCATTGTAACATAGCATCAACATTTTATTGAGAGAAGAGGATGTGAAGATAATCTACCTTCTTACTGTGTCTTTTATTATTCTAGTGATCATTCCCCGGATTGAACGTACACTTACTTATATCATCACAGAACTGGATGAACGAGAGCGAGAAGAGTTTTATAGGTTTGTTGGGCTTGGCACTTGATGATTGGGGATATAACTTCTATATGACATTTCCTATTTAGCCCTTTCAGTTGTCTTTGATTTGATCAATAGAAAGCGTAAGGATATCATTGAAAACAAGAACTCTTATTTTGAAGGTTGGTGTGCTTTTGCTTCCTTGGACATAGTCTCTTCTTGTAACTTGAGTGGTGTCCTAGGACACCTAGGAGAGGGAGGGCGAGGTTTGGAACCCCAGCCCCATCTTCTTGCTCTGTATATGACCTTGGGCAAATAACTGAACCTCTCCCTTGGCCCAACTGGAAAATGAGGTAGTCGGACAAGATGACCTGTGTCGGCCCTTCAAGCTTCAAACTATGTTCTTGTCACTGGTTGAAAATGCTGTCAGATGCAACTGTTTCACTTTAAAATCCTTAAAATGAAGGGAGGGGAGGATAGCAGTGTTATTATCAGCCAATTACATGTTATGTGTATCCTGGAGAAAGTACTATGTATTGTGAGGAATAGGGAGAGAAGACAGTGTACTTAAAACAACTCATGAACAGCACAGTACAGGATGTAATGAAGTGCTGTCAGTTCTGTAGGAAATCTGGGGAGGTGAAGACGAGTGAAGGCTTGAGCAGTCAAGGAAGCCTTGATGATGGAGGGAGGGCTTTGAGGATGCCAAGAGTTTTGTTGTTTGGTTTTTTGACAGTGTAGATGTGTTATTTGTATCATTGCCATTATTGGATGCTTTTAGAACTACAATATTTAGGGCAAGTGTTCTTAACCATGAACTTCAATGGGAGAAAACATACATCGTTTATTTCAGTATAATTGGTTTACTTTGTTAGGTTTATTTTAATATTTTGTAAGAAGGGGTCCATTGATTTCTTGAGGCTGCTAAAGAAATTTATAACATAAAAAAGGTCAAGAACTACTAGTTTAGGGGCTAGACTGTTTGGACTCATGACCTAGAATTTTAATAAATATCTCAATTTAGATGCCTATTTTAGAGACCTCTAGTTAATATGTTCAAGGTATAATTCAGAAATTTGAATGTTAGAAGCTTCTAATTCTGCTTACTTATTATTTTAAAATTAAAATAGTAATTTAGGATTATTTCTGTCTGTGTGTTTATCATCCTTGCTAGGAGGAGGTGGTGGGGAGAGAAAGCAGGTTGTTGTAGCAGTGGTGTCTCGTTTAGTGTGGAGTAGCTTCTGGAAAAACTTTCCTTACTCTCCAGGTTAAAGAAAATACAGGAGAAGAAGAAGGTTCTCAAAGAGAAAACAGAGAGAGAATTGGAATTACGGAAAGCAGCTGGAGAAGTGTTGGAGCCTGCTAATCTACTGGCCGAAGAGAAAGATGACGATCTTCTGTTTGAATAGCCCTTCCTATTCTGTAGTCTTCTTTGAGACCTTGGCCTTGTGGTTTTCTTATAATACATGGTATCCAGGTTCTGTATGTAATGGGGCTATATGTTATAGCCCAGGAGTTCCACTAGCTGCTATTAAGTTATTGGGATTATTTGGAGAGATCATGATTATAATAGTCATTTGTAGGACTGACTGCTATTTAGTGGTAATTGACCAGCCTAGGAGCCAGTAGAACTACGACCTATTTATATTTCTCCCCTTCTGGGTCTGTGTATGTAAACAGAGTTGTGGTGGTTTATGCTTTAATCATATCTGAAAAAACATTCCTTTGAAAATAGCAGTGATCCATGCTGATACGTAGCCTGACTCCTACATACACAGCCATCGTTTTGATCTACTTTCAGCCTGTGCTTTTGTCACCGTGGTGCTTCAATCTAGTATTGTGTGAACAACATCACATCTTTTTTTTCTTGCATGGCTGGTCTCAGTCCTATGAAAGAAGACTTTCCCCTTCATTATGGAAGAAATTCTGCCAATTCCTATGTAACTGTAGTATAAGCAGAGTAAAAAATTTAAAAATGACTTGTTTTATTTGTTGTTATTCTGATTCCTTATTCCTCTTGGAACATAGTATAATAATGTTATCCAAAGCCTACCTCTTTTTTTTTTTTTTTTTTGTGAGGCAACGGGGATTAAGTGACTTGCCCAGGGTCACAACAGCTAGTAAGTGTTAAGTGTCTGGGGCTAGATTTGAACTCAGGTTCTCCTGACTCCAAGACCTGAGCTCTATCCACTGCACCACCTAGCTGCCCCTAAAGCCTGCCTCTTAAAAATGTTTTATTGATGACTTACGTTTTTATGCCAGTGATTTTTGGATATATTTGTAATCCCTGACTTCCCCCTTAAACCTTCCCTTATAACAAAAATAATTAATTGACATAGCAACTGTTTCTGATAGTGTATGCCTCAATCTGAAGCCATAATCTTTTACCTCTTAAGAGGAAGTGCTTCATCATTTAAGAATATGTTATATGGTACAAAATTTGGTCATTACCATTGATCTTAGTTCAGCTGCCTTTTCGCTGTTATGGTGGTGGTTTTCTGGTTCTTTTTATTTTATTCTGCATCACTTAACTTTAATTCATTTAATAATCTGCATCACATTCCTCAGAACTTGTTGTGTTTGTCACTTCTTAGGATCATAGATAGAGAGACGGGAAGGGATTATAGAAGCTACCTAGTTCAGTTCCTTCCCTTAGTCATAAAGATGGTAAGGGCAGAGCTACGGTTTGAACATAGGTCCTGTGACTAAGCACTTTCCCCACTGTGACCTCAATGCTTTTTATGGTACAGTAATATTCTGTTACATTTATATACCATCTCTATTTTTTTTTTTTTTGCAAGGGTCTAGACCTGTTATTTCATAGATACAGGAAAACTATGGGTGAGGATGTTTCATCTAACAGTGCAGACCGGCAGTTAGAGCTTTGAAATGACCTAAGGGCACTTAGGTTAAGTGACCTGCCTTTTTACACAAAAGGCAACATTGTCCCTCTTGAAAAAGGGGTCTGAGTTGTTTTCTTTACATTTCTATTATTTATGACAATACCTGTTTGAAGTGGTGTGCAAAGTGCAGGTCATTTGTTGTCCCTTGAATACTAAAGTTAAAAGTTATCTAAAGTGATAAATTCCTTTCTTTGGAGAATTAAAGATAAGATAATGTCTTGGTATTTGTAAGGAATATTTGTAATAAATAACATGTTTGACCTAACTCTCCTCAATGTGGCAGAATGAATGCAAGCAGAATAGTCTGGCCCTCTTAAAACTACTCCCAACAAGGATAAAAAAGCAGCAAACCCAAAAAATGGCCAGGAAATCCAAGGAGAATCTAGAATCCTGGAGGCACTAGAGAAGGGATCTAAACAGAACACTGCCTTATAAAGCTTGGAGACTAGGGCCAAGCCAGGGAAAAAGCTTAAAGCTAAGGCAGGGAGGAGGCAGACTAGGATTCCTGGAGACTGGAGCTGTGTCCCTTTAACAGCTGGTCATACACTACTGAGGTCCTTGCAGAAGGCAGTGCTTATTACCCAAATCTCATAACAACAGAAGAGGCCTGATATAAGAAGGAAGGTTGGAAAAATAAATAAACATAAGAAATAGGAAGCCAAAGACACTCAAGGTAAACTGAGAAAAAAAAGGATCTTCATCATTTTAAAGAAAATCACAGATTTCGACAGACACTACAGGAATTCTGGAAGAATTTTAAAATGGTAATTATAAATTAAATGAGAGCACTAGAGGAAAATAATTGGAAGGAGAATAGTTTAGGACAGAAGTCGCAAAACTTAATTAACAGAATCGTTGAAAATTAGATTGGACCAAAGATTCCAAGTGATAACAAGAAATACAAGAACAATTAAAAGACTAGAAAAAAAAATCAGAAATGTAAGGTATCTCCTGTCAAAAATAGCTGACCAGTAAAACTGGTAAAGGAGAGATCTAAGAATCAGCAGACTACCTATAACCTATTAAAATAAACCATTAAACCATTAAAATAAAAGTCTAGAAAAACATAAATAAAAAAAAAAAGGAAAATATCCACAAGTCACTTCTTCAAAGAAACCCCAAAATGAAAACTCCCAGTTCTCTAAAATCAAGAGCTGCTAGGTTAAAAAAAAAAAAGGGAACTTTAAGATTTGCAAAACACTTTACAAATATTTTACTTCACAAACATTTTTCCTCAACAACCATGGAAGGTAGGTACTACTGTTATTATTTTACAGATTAAGAAATTGAGGCAGCAGTTCTAAGTGACTTGACCAGGGTCACACAACTAGTAAATGTCTGAGACCAAATTTGAAATTGCATCTTTCTTGATCCAGGAACTGTACTGTACTGTACCGTATCGTAACACTTCAAGCAGCCAGGAAAAAAAAAAGAACAGTTCAAATATCAAGAAACCACAGGATCAAACTTGAGAGTTCCACGGTAAAGGACAGGAGAGCTTGGAACTTGATATTTCAGAATGAAAAAAGATAAGTACTTAAAACCAAGAATAACACATTTGACAAAACAGTTTTACAGGGGGAAAAGGACCTTCAATGAAAGGTAATTTCTAAGTATTCTTGATGAAAAGACTAGAGCTGAGTGAAAGGTAAACATGAGTCAAGAGAAACAATAGAAAGGGAAATACATTCAAGCAATTGGAAGAAATGTTATATGCCAAGAGAGGGGAAAAGAATAAATATCCCTTCAGAACCTTAATGTCTTCATGGGTAACAGAAGATAAGACTGCAGGCATGGAGCAATATTAGATGATCTGAAGAGGAACAAAATAAAAAGGAAAGAGGAGGAAGGGATCAGAACTTAACCATCTCACATCAGTGAGAAAAAGACTTAGAGAAATGGAGGAACAGAAGGGGGAGGGGATCACATGAATCTCACCTATCTGAGCTGGTCAGGAAAGGGGAACTGAATACACTCTGAGTTGGATGTAAAATCAGTGTCAGGCTATGATCACAGACTGGGGGAGGGAAGAATGGTGGAATAGACTACATCATATAGATGATGTAGTTTTGTGTATGGCATACTCCCCTCAACATCCTCATTGCAAAGAATAAGAGAAATATGAAAGGATAGGATGGAGTGAAATAGATAACAAGATATATATTGTTCACAAGAAAATTTGAGAAGCAGGTGGAGTAAAATCTATTATGCATCGGATGAAGTAAAAAAAAAGGCATAGCAATCATTTAAACAAAATAAACTTGATTAAAAAAGATTAATAAGGAAACTGTTTAAAGGCACTATATGAATTAGTATAATTTCTAAATAAACCCCCAGTGGTTTTGTATCTAAATACTTAAGAGGTAATAGATATATATGAAAAAATAGGCAATAAAGTCAATAGGTGGGAGATCTCAATGTACCCTTTTCAGACTACATAAATCTAACCATAGATAAACCAAGAAGACCCAAGTAGACTTTTACAAAAGTTACATATAATAGATCCCTGGCAGTTATTGAATGGGGACAGAAAGATGTATACATCTAATTTCTGAACTGTGTGTGGTACCTTTACAAAGGGTATAAAACAACACATTTAGAAAAACTTATTAAATATGACCAATCTTAATGCAATAAACAATTCTCTTCAAAAAGGGTCTTTGAAGAAAAGATTAAAAATTAATTGAAGACTAATTTAATCCTAAGGAATTCGGGGGTCTAAGGAAACAACATACCAGAACTCTTGAGAAGCAGTCAAAGTAGGGCTGAAGGAAAAATTTAAATATCTAAACATTTTCACCAACATAAAAAGGAAAGAACAGTAAACTGGGCATGCACCTAAAAAACAAAAACTAGAAAATCAACAAATTTTATACTTTAAAAACACCAAAATAGGAATTCTGAAAAGCAAAGAAAGATGAACAAAATTGAAAGTAGAATAACATCACATTTGGTACTCAATCATGTACTTTTGAGTTTTTCTAGGATGGTTTGTTTTCCCTGTTAGCCTATCATTAGTGCCTGAGATTTTTGAGATTGTTATTATGGATACAGTCTGTGCCCATGATACCGTTTGTTTCAACTGAAACCAAGTGACCTATGTGAAACTTGTAAGTTAGACTTTAAAAAAAAATTTTTCCCCCTATCTTGCCCAGCTCAGGATTGCCCCACATTGCTTGTCAGAAAGTAGCTTTTTAGGCACGGTTTTGGCACTGATCCTTGTTACCTATAGCTAGCATAATCCCACTGAATTGTAGCAAGCACTGCCTTGCGCCCTTCTAGGGTATGACATTATAACTGTGTCCCAGGTCTGCAACTTACTCTAGAATATAGCAGTCTTAGGCTAGCTTTCTCAAATTGATTTCTGTCAATCCTTAGGCAGCATGTAGAATCCAGCAACCACTTTTAAGCTCAGTATTGCAATTTGCAAATCGTGTTCAGTTTTTCAACGAAGCAGGATATTAATTTTCTTCACACTTATTTTTCCAGGTCATTATGCTCAATTTTGCAAAGGTTTTTTTTGGGGGGTGGGGGATGAGGTAGAGGGGGACTTTTTTAGTGAGGCAATTTGGGTTAAGTGACTTGCCCAGGGTCACACAGCTAGTGTTAAAAGTCTGAGGTCAGATTTAAATTTGGGTCCTCCTGACTCCAAGGCCAGAGCTCTATCCACTGTGCCTTTGATCCATTATCTTTTACATCTTTTTTTCAGAGTATGTTTTCAAAGCAGTTATAAGCATAGCCAGAATGAGTGTTCCTAGTAATGTTTAAGTTGAAGTTGATTAGAAAAAAATGGGCATACTTTAAAGAGAATTGAGGAAATGTGCTAGAAAGATAAGACAGGCTTTTTATAGAAAACAGAAACAGTGGTTTATCCTTACCTTGACTTTTTTTTAAAAATTTATTTTGATTTATTAACAATCACTTCCATAAGCTTCTGAGTTTTAAATTTTTCTCCCCAAGATGGCTCGCAATCTGATATAGGCTATACTTATACATCCCTATTAAACATATTTTCACATTAGTGATGTTGTAAGGAAGAATTAGAACTAATAGGAGGAACTATGAGAAAAGAAACAAAACACAACAGAAGAAAAAAAAATGGCAAATAGTATGCTTCAATCTGCATTCAAACTCCATAGTTTTTTCTTTGGATGTGGATAGCATTTCCCATCATGAGACCTTTGGAGATGTCTTGGATCCTTGCATTGTTGAGAAGGACTAAGTCTATCAATGTTAGTCATCGCACAACGTGGCTGTTAACTGTGTACTACGTTCTCCTGGTTCTGCTCACTTCACTCAGCATCAGTCCATACAAGTCTTTCCAGGTTTTCTGAAGTCTGCCTGTTCATCATTTCTTATAGCACAAATAGTATACCATTACATTCATATACCACAACTTGTTCAGCCATTCCCCAACTGATAAGCATCCCCTCAATTTCCAATTCTTTGCCACCACAAAAAGAGCTGCTATAAATATTTTTTGTAGATGTGAGTCCTTTTTCCCATTTTTATGATCTCTTTGGAATACAGCCCTAGAAGTGCTATTGCTGGGTCAAAGGGTATGCGCATTTTTATAGCCCTTTGGGCATAGTTCCAAATGGCTCTCCAAAATGGTTGGATCATTTCACAACTCCACCAACAATGCATTAGTGTTCCAATTTTCCTACATCTTCTCCAACATGATAATTCAAATTTTTGGGAAAGATTATCTATCTATAAAGCATTTTACAAACTTCTTCCTAACAATAGGTATTTCCAATGAAAAGTATTACAGAAGGAAGTTGTTTTTAGTCTCCTTCCTTGGGTATGCAATATGATGAGCTTTTTGAAGTAAGGGCTAATGTTATTAGAACAAGGGATGAATTGAAGGGATTTCCTACAGTTCGGAAAAAAATAAACAATTTCATTTATAAGAACAAGTAAGACCTTACTTGTCCAATTCCTGGTGTCTAGTGAAAACACAAATGTACAAAGTTGAAAGATGGGTAGCCTTCAGAAGTGTGTACCATCTAGAACTTTGAAAATCCACTCCAGTGCCTAGTCTGGCTCTTAATTGTATGTATTGAATGAATTGAATTTTGCAAAGGACACAAAATCAAACAGTCAAAATCATAACAAATATGATTATTATAGTGATTTTATTTGAAATCTAGAAATATAATTTTACATTTTTTTACATTATGATGTGCAGTTTATGACATTTCATAAAATACACAGTGCAGGTACAGGATAGAAAAGTATAAAGTGGGGTTAACCACAGGTCTTAGGAAAATTATCTTTGTTAAGGCTAAGTCCCTAGAGTTTATATTTTGAAAATATAGTTACATTCATATTAATATTTGTTAATGCTATCATTAGGGATGGAGGGGAGAAATCCAGATATTAAATTTTCATGGAAAGCAAACCTGGACTGATCAACATATCAAAAGTTTCCCTCCTGTTTCAGCTTGAGATTGAGGCTACAACCTATTAAAAATTTTGTATAGGAAACATTTCTTACAGTAATGTACATAACTGGGATCCAAGGTACATTTTTCTCTTAAAAAATAGAGGGTTCTCAATTCCCATATAAGGGAATTCAAATCAGAACTACAACACAAAGAAGACTGGAAATGAAGTTTGGACAGACAACCATATAATCAAGTGTGCACATTCTGATTTGCAATATGAATTCTTCTCATCACTTGCCTAAGAGTGAGAAAATCAACAACAAATGTTTTAGCAACAGTTTTCACACCCTTTATGTACTGAAACCAAATTAAGAAATGGATGGAGAAAGCATGCATACACCCACTATGCTCACCAACCACGTGGCGAGAGGAAGAATGGGAGAGATGGAAACATGACGACTTAACTGAGACAAAAAAGTATTCCTAAGCTGGTGTAGCATGGGAACGTTAGAGGGCAGGGGTGCCCCTTATGCAAAGATTGTATTCATTCAGCTCCAATGCAGCTGCAACACACACACACAGGGTTATCATAAACTATAAGTTTCCCTCTCTACACATGATGAAGCTGCATAGCACCTAAGTCTAACTTAAAATGTATGGTATGAATTCAGTTATCCTTTTAATCCTCAGAGAAAGAACCATCAAAATGTTAATGCCGGCTTAATGAACAGTTGTCATAGTAATGCAGACCATATAATCTCTACCTTTTATTCCTGAGAAAAAAGTAAAATTGTAGAGATTTGGAAAGCTAAGTGCGAAGTAAAAAATCCTTGGTTTGTGTTCTCAAATTCAATGAGGATTTCCTTTTCATTCCAACTCCTTGGGCAAGATGTTAGCAGGAGTGTCTTAGACTTGATGAGAAAAGGACTTATCACATCCCTTAACAAGAGAAATACTAATTTCACAGTAAGGAAAAATATTTAAAAAAATTATTTCCATGCACTATACCTTTCCTGTCAACTTTGGGGCTCTTCAAATTTGAACAAAAAAAAAAATAAAGCAATGTAGACTACCTAGAGTTCTCTATTACAGGTAATGTATAGCAAAGAGAAAAACTGAGTGTATACACAAGACAATGTGACAAACCATTAAAATCTTAACAGCTTATGTTAAATTAAGCTACAAGTCAACTTCATTCCAGTGTTTAGTTTTGAGAACAAGGAAATATTGCAGAAAAAGTTACTAAGAAGGAAAATTAACATTCACATTTTATGTTTTGTCCTCTCTCTTCTTTACCTCTTCATTTGAATCACATATTACCACCTAAAGGATAAAGAGACTAAAAACCATCTTTCCATGCCAATGGTAGTGTTGTAAAGATGGACAGCTACAGAGCAAGCCTTAAGACTAAGTCATATAAACTCCAGATGCAGCTTGCAGTGGCATTCTGATCTCAAGAGGCAGACCCTGCTAGGACAAAATTCATATTTCGGTACATTTAATAATTTTCCCAATGCCACTTTCCTAAAGTGCTATCAAATGACTCCTTTCCTTCTGATCTCAAAGTCAACTTTTACAGTATTTCATCAGGGTTTACCTAATTTTACTCTACTATTGAGTAAGTGGATGAAAATCATTGCTTGATCTATTAAATATCAGTTTACAGTATAGCAGCTATATTCAGCAATCATAGTTCCAGTTTACTACCCATAACAATCAAAAGAAATGCTATCCTCATATATTAAAATATAAAACATCATCTAATACTCAGTATCCTATTTTTTTAAAAAAATTGTTACTTGCATTATGACGAAAAAACCCATTTTATTAAAAATCACATTTCATATAAACATCTTCCATAATAATGTAACTTATTTCTTCTGTTGTACTACAGATCAGAGGAAGGAAGAAGTTCTCAAATCAGTTGGTATATAATTTAAAGAGAAAAGAGAGGTGCATAAAATATTCACACTTAAAAGACCAACCATATGGTGTCTTTCATTGGACCCAAGGCTTCTGAATGTGAAGTTTAATGTACAAAGTTTGTTCTGAAAAAATGGAAGTCTGAAATATTTACATTATAAACATTATCCAAATTACAGTGCTGTCAAAATGGAATCTAGTTTATGATAAAATATAATACGCTCAAAACTGAATTCAAGCCTAACAGGGTTGAACCAGACCAAAGTAGCATATCTTTTTAATAAAAGATAAAATTAAATCAGTGTACTTTTGCCTTTTTTTTTTTTTTAAAAGAAAACACTTCTGATGACTAAAATCAGTTTTTTGGGCAAATGATGTCCTTCTCTAAAGTTGAGGGGCATAGTTTGAAATGACCAAAGATTCCACAAGGTAAATTCTTTTAAGTGTTAAATAACATCAATATTTATAACTATGTGACATGGATTGTATTTTATATATATATATATATATATATATATATGTACATATATATGCATGCTTACTACATTTTATGGAAATGTGACTCGGTAGAAAACAGATTGAGTTATTAAGTAAAAACAGGACTGAAAGATTTTTATGATTAAAATGGGATTGCTTTGTTTGAAGCTTAGATTTATAATCCAAAAATGAGTAAGGAATCCCTAAAATGATGGAGGTGAAGAACTCTCTTCACAGTGAATACCCTTCTTCTAATCATTTTAACATAAGAGATATAAAAAAAGAGGTATAAAGATACAGGTGGCCACCTAATACTCAAGTCTCATTAAAGTATGGAGGCAATTTTCCTTGTTGGCAGTTTGCCAAAGAAAAGTACAATCACGCTATGGAATGATTTTTTTTTTCACCTTAGCCAGGTGGATGGTACCCACTGAGGTTCAGTATCAAGTTTGTTAATTAATCGAAGCAACTCCTGATAAGCCTTATCAAGATCTGAATTCACAATTGCAGTGTCAAAGTAGTGGCCATTGTTCTGTTCCATCTCTCTAGTCTTCTCAATGATGTCTCTCAATTCTTCTGGCTGAAAGGGGAAAATAAAAACATTGAGATTTTATCCATTAGGGCCCTGAGAAGTGGAATGCATCCAACAGTAAAAGATGTCATTCCACATTAACACAAGAGCAATGGTTTATAAGCAATGTAAAAAATGCCTATGATATAACCTGATGATATATACAGATTATTATTTTTTCATGTCCTCATTCTCCTTGACCTCTCTCTGGCATTAGCTAACTGAACACTCCTTTCTTGAAACTCTCGCTCTGATTCTATAACCTCTCTGTTCATATTCTATTTTTTTCTTTCTCATCCCAACTATTACTATAAACATTTCCCCAAAGTTCAGTTGTTTTTGTGGAAAAGCATTTATTAAGTGCATATTACCTGCCAAACACTGTGCTAGGTTCTGAAAATACAAAGAGAAAAATGAGAAAGTAAAAGAGCACAAAAGCTCACCAAAGTAAATAATTCCTTAAAAATCAGACTCTATGAGACATAAAAACAAAACAAAAACAAGAAAACAAAGTCAAGAGAATGAAAAAACTAGAAGAAATGGGAAATATCTCATCAGAAAAACAACTAATTTGGAAAACAGATTGAGGAGAGATAATTTAAGAATTATTGGACTACCTATAAACCATGATCAAAGAAAGAACCCAGACATCCTATTTTGAGAAATTATCAAGGAAAACTGCCCTGATATCTTAGATTCAGAGGCTAAAACAAACATTGAAAGAATCCATCAATCACCTCTTGAAAGACATCCAAAATGAAAAGTCCCTGGAATACTGTAGCCAAATTCCAGAGCTCCCAGGTCAAGGAGAAAATATTGCAAGCAGCCAGAAAGGAACCATTCAAATACTGTTAGGCCAGAGTAAGGATCACATTAAGATTTAGGGGCTTAAAAGTGGGGGGCTTGGATTATGATATTCTGGAGGGCAAAAGAACTAGGATTACAATGAAGAATCACTTACTCAGCAAAACTTGAGTCTAATCCTTTGGGGGAAAAATGGACATTTAATGAAATAGAGAACTTTCAAGCATTCTTGATGGGAAAAAACAAAAACAAAACCAAAGCTGAATAGAAAATCTGATTTTCAAACATAAGACTCAACAGGTAAAAATTAAACAGTAATCATAAGGAACTCAATAAAGTTGTTTAACTTCATATTCACACAAGTTGTTCACATTCCTTATAGGAAGATGATACATTTAACATCTAAGATCTTTATCATTATTAGGATTCAAACATAGAAAGAGGGCGGGAGTGACTCAATTATGTTGGGATCTCTAAAAAAATGAAGGGGTGAGAAAGAATGATGCTTGGGGAAAAGGGAGAGGTAGAATGGGGAAAATCATCTCACATAAAAGAGCTTAAGGAAGAACTTTTATAGTGGAGAGGAAAATGGCAGGGATGGGAGGGTGAACCTCACTCTCACTGGAACTGGTTCACAGAGGGAACACACACACACACACACACACACACACACACACACACACACACACA